CTGGCCACAGGTGTGGGCCTGGGCCTCGGCCTTGGCCTGGGGAGGCGACCCACGGGGCGGGCGGGAGCGCGTGTCTGGCTTCCTCGGTTCGGTCCTCGGTTCGGTCCTCGGTGGAAAGCGGGGCTGCCAGTCGCTGCAGTCCACTGGGGACCGGCGGTGCCCCAGGCTGCTGCCTCTGGTCCGACCTCCCGCTCACCTGGCAGAGAGCGGGCTGGCTGCGGGTGGTTCCGAGGGGCTCGCAGTGAAAAGGGGGCGCAGGCGGGTTTCCTGGGCCGGCGCTGTGGCGGTGGGCCGGAGTGGTCCAGCACTCTCTGCATATTTCGTGTCCGAGTCGAGCATAACGTCTTGCGCCACGGAGACACGGCGGGAACTCAGACCTAGAGTGGGGTGCGCACTGCTGCAGGGGCCGGGCCGGCCACCCCGGGGGCCCTCGGGTAATTCCGCTGGGACGAGGGCCTGCCCCAACCGAGCCACGCGCTGAGACTCGAACTCTGATGCTCCTGCGGCCGCTAACACCCCCGGACAGAGACTGGACCCGAGGGCGGGTCTGAGGACAGGGCGCAGGCAGATGCTTTTCGGAACCAGGGTAATGAGAGCAGGGCCGCGGGCTCTGGTGCCAGACGAGGAAGACGCGTGTGCCCCACCCGGAGGCCCTCAGAGGCGGGCGGCGCAATCACGTGCACCCCAAGCAGGGCCGGCCTCACAGGTGGGTCCGTCCCCAGTTCCGTCGGCGGTGCCCGAGATGACCGGTTATTAACTACACCTCTGAATGTCGTCCCGCCAAAGGGAGAGCTGTGCGGGCCCCGACGTGTGCTTGCCACCCCGAACAACCCGGCGTGGTCCTGGGCACAAGCTGTGGCCCTGCGGCCCGGGGGGCTGAACCTGTCTCCCGCATCACCTGGCGGGCGGCCTGGAAGACGCAACGGGTGGGCACAGGGGGCTCTTCCCTGGGTGCGCCACGCCCGGGGAGGCCTGGGACCAACCACACGGACTGGGGCAGCCCAGCAGGTGCAGGGGTACGCGCTGACACACAGTGGGGAGGGCCAAGGGCAGCTGGAGCGGGGGAGGCCGCTTCCGAAGCAGATGGGGACAGGACCCGCAGGAAGGACATCTCCGGGAAGGGGGGCCGCTGGTCCGGGGGGGACTCTGCATTTGAGACCTGGGCAGCCTGGCCTCCAGGGGAGGGCATTTTGAGGACGGGTAGCTTTCATTTATGAGGCAGAAAAGCAATTTTCAGCTTTTAGTTTGGGCCAGGACAAATGTGCCCTCCCCTGCCCAAGGGTCACCCTTGGCCCTGCAACCAAGGGAGGGCCCTGCCGGTAACCGAGCAGCTGGTGGAAACAGCGGGGGTGGGGCCGGGGCCAGGCGGAGGCGGGGTTTGGGAGCCTTCAGGATCTGCTGCCGAGACTTTAAACATGGTCACATTGTTGACTGGGGACATGTACTGACTCGGGAGGAAGTTGGGGTGAGCGCTCAAGGTCGGTCTCCTCCCACGCAGTCTGCCCTTTTAAGCTTTTATCACAGTGACAGTAGTGTCCCCCGGAGACAGGCGACTGGGGACAGTGGGCGCATCAGTCAGCATTCCCCAGAGAAGTGGGCAGTGGGACGTGTGTGCACATCCTCTCGGGTGTACTCACAGGGCCCGTGCGAGACGGGCCACACGCGCGTGGACAAGCAGGCGCAGTGGGTGAGCCCCCGCGCCAGGCGGAGGCGGCACAGGACTCGCTGCAGAGGTGACCGCAGCCACCTGCCACCTGCGGACAGTGGCAGCCCCCCGACTCCCTCCCTCCATGAAGTGGGGTCCCCAGCTGATGACAGGGAGAGAAAGAGCAGTTTGGGGAACACGCTGTCCTGTCTTTGAAGGCCCACTGCATGCCAGGAAGGTCCACACAGGCGGTCACTCCGGGGGCCCGCTTCCTGGGCAAGGCCGCCCCGTGGTCCCAGTCCGGGAGCACGCAGACCCGTCTCGCCGCCCAGAACCGCACTGACCTCGGTGGCCTCCTGCACCGGGCAGGGCGGGCAGCAGTGACAGCCGCCAACGAACTGCACTGGGCAGTGTCTGCGGGCTGCCCAAGGGCACGCTCCGGGCGCCGAGACAGCAGAGCTGCACTGTATCCGTTCCCAGGGCCACGAGGCCAAGGCGCAGCCAGAGCCGCTTCCTTCTGAAGAAGCGCCTGTTCCGGGCCTCTCCCTGAGCGTCCGGTGGGTGCTGCCCATCCGGGGGTCCCCTCACATCCCGTCTCTGCCCTCATCCCACATAGGGTCCCCCAGACCTCGTCTTAACTTCATCATCTTCACAAGGAGCCCCAAAAGGCCACGTTCTCGGGCACTGGGGTTGCGTCCCCCACATGAGTTTGAGGAAACGTGTGGACCTGGGGCAGATGCCGCGTCTTCAGCATTGAACTGCGTGTAGCAGTGACCGCAGGCCACACGTGGACACCAGCACGAGGGGCTCGTCTGCGCTGGGATGAGCTTGGGCGTAAAATACAGACTAAAACAATACTGTGTATTACCTCAGTGCCTTTTACACCGATTACCTGCTACACTTTCTCACACACCAGGTTCCATAAACTGCAAAGAGAACAAAGACTAATTTCACCTCCTTTCATGTTCCCGGTGTGGCCGAGGAAACTCAAATGCACAGGTGACGTCACGCACAGCTCGCAGGTGCGCAGGGCCTTTCGTGTCTGCTGGACGGCACTGACCTCGAGGTCGTCGGGCCCCAGCCGTCCCCTCGGCCGCGCCACGAGAGCGACCTTGCCCCTACTTCCCTGAGAAGGACGACAGCAAGATGAGGCATGGCAGTGGCAGCGGACGGCAGGTAACGGCCATCTCCCCGCACGGCCCGCCCCCATCTGAGTGTCAGCGCGGCCTTGCGCAGCCTCGGGGGCAGGCGTGCGTGCGGGGGACGCGGACCTCACTTCACTGTCATCAGTAAGAGCACGGTCTGGAGCCGTGAGGGCGTGGCCTCTGCGTCAGGTGGCCGTCTCCAGGCACTTCGGGTGAGGACGCTGAGGCTGCAGAGCCAGCACAGCCTTCATTGATGATGTCATCAGATTGGCGCCGGTCTCGTCCAAGGTGGGTCCGAGTGAGATTCTCCACTCGCTCCCTGCTCACGAGTTCTGCGCCCCACGGCGACGACGCCTCGGTGGGTGCTTCACGAAACACCCTGGTTACCAAGGCTCTGACCCTGTTTATGAAGGGAGCGGTCAGTTCACTCAGCGAGGGCACCGGCCCGCCCTGCAGCCTGGTGTCTCCTGACCAGCAGCTCTGACCACCAGCTCCAGGTGCCTGGCCACGCCACAGGTAGTGTGGTGTGCTGCCACCTATAGGTAGAAAGAAAAACAGGAAAGCGCAGCAAGTTCTGACAAAGCCGTAACTCTGCAAAGTTTCAGAGACAGAAGGAAAAAGGACAAAATATCCCAAAGTCCACTGCCATGGACCCTCCCTCATGTCAAAATCACTGTAAGACCTTGGCTGAGTTACAAGCACAACAAAACCTGGACAGAGCCAGCCCCGGAAGAGCGGAGCTGCGAAGCCACAACCCAATTCTTCTCGGTGGGCGGGCGCCCGAAAACACCAGGACTGGGCTGGCCAAGATGTCCGTGGGGGTGTTTTTCTCTAAACTAAAAGACGCATTTTCATTTTCACCAATAACTTTATTGACTGGGATATTTTGAGCAGGGCGGCTCTCCCACAAGGTGGAGTACACTGATCGTTCTCAAGGAATGTCTCGATTTGATCGCTATCAACTGGCCCATCCGACTGCGGGGCACCCCTGGTGAGGAGTCTCCAGCACGAAGCGTCACAAGCCACTTCTGACACGTGTGATCAGTCACAGCACCTTCTCCACACATGGCACACACATTTTTCCCCCATTTCAGTTGCATTTTTACCTTTCTTGAAATAATAAAGCATAACATGCTGAAAATGTTGCATATCATCTTCCATCTTCGATATTAAAATGGCTGCACAAAAATTCACCAATTTTGATTTTTTTTAATGTGCCACTTATATATGACAGCTGTCACAATGCAACCTAACAATCGTTTTGATGAAGTCCAGGACAACTAAGTAGAGCCATCGTCTGGGAAAAGTACACAAAACGAACTTTTTGGCTGGGCAATGTGTCGAATTCAGACAGTGCGAGTTTGGCACCAACCACTTTCCAAACCAGCTACCACGTCAGCGCCTACAAGTCACTGTGGGGCCTCATGCACCCTTCGGTCCTTTTCTGGCTCCAGGATGTGACCCCAGCCACGTTCAAGGACACTGTGCAGCTGCCCTCGGTTGCAGGACCCGTGCCCGTCCAGAGGCAGCGTGGGCCACGTGCAGGCCGGCCCTTGCGCTGCTCCCTCCTGGTGGAGGGAGATGGGGGTGAACCCAAGACAAATCTGCGTGGACCGTGGGGGTGGTGGTGGCTGAGAGACAAGGCCAGGCCTCCTACAGCCCCAGTCTCTCGGGCCCAGCACGAGGCAGCTTGGCCCTGTGTGGGACCAGGAGAGGTGTTCGGCCACTGCTCCATGTGGTGACACCTGGCGGGGGAAGGGTCTTCTCAGTGGGGCGGCTGCCCTGTGCATCCCAGATGAGACAGGCAGGGTCCCGGTTCCTACCCCCGTGACCTGGTCTCTGGAAACCGCCAGGCTCAGAGTCACCAAGGCAGGGCGGTGGCCTGGCCCCACTCTGGGCTACAGAGCCCGGCCCAGGCCTGGTCGGACAGGGACGGTCCTGCGCCAGAGGCGGCTCCGCCAGCAAGTCTGTGCAGCCCAGGACCAGGCCCCGCTACTCCATTTAGCCCAGCAAGTCGGGCCAAGGTCAAGTCTGAGCCTCCTCCAGCCCCTCGTGCTGGGGAAGCTGCTTTTCAGGCACGAGAACCAGCTCATCAGAGTCCCTCAGAGGCCACAGTCACCATAGTTACTGCCCGGCCGAGGGAAGTCAGTCAGTGACTCTCACAAGATGGCAAGACAGAATTGGAAGGTACAACTCCGTTGGATCAGAAGCAGTTTTAAGGAATTTTATTTAACTGTTGATTCATCACCAACATCTAACAGTTGTCATTTGGCTACATTTGGATGAGCACATGAGCGAGAAAATATAAATTAAATACTATGAATGTTTACTTTTAATGAACCATGATCTTAATACGACATGGATATATAAATTTAGTGGTTTTATTGCATTGTTAGAAAATTATATTAAGAAAGATACAAAAAATCAACAGATGTTTATTTACAATAAGTATGCCATTACGGCTTTAAATTTTCATTTACCTGACAGGTTTCAAAGAATAGGTTATTACATGCCTGATAAAACACTTAAAATATTTACAAATTCAAAATACAGGTTCTATAACTGAGAAAAGTTCACCTGAGACTTCGTTATAACATTGCCGTTGTTTGATTTTCTTCCCAAGCTGTCAGTGCGGCCGAGTGTCCGGCTGCAGCCGTCTCGTCCGCCCACCGAACACGCCGCCTCTTATTCCCAGCTCGCGAACACTCACCGACAGTGAACCGTGTGACGGATGCTACAAGCAGGTCCCAGGGTTACACCCACGTTTGCCTGGACGTGACACGCTGGGCACAACCAGCCACTGCGGGTGAACGGAGACGACAGGGACACGCCGGTGACGTTGCTCTGCCGAGTCGGCCACGACGGCTCTGAGGCCGGGAAGCACCGAGAAGGCCAGTCCGCACGGTGGGGGGGGTCTGGCCCCGGACTGGCTGCTTGCAGACCGGAAACAAGCCCCCGGAACTCTGCACGCAGGAAAGAGGCACACTGTGCGCACACAGTCCTGTCGCTTGTCTTCCACACCCTCGAAAAAGTCAACTTGAAACTAATTCTTAAAAAACCTTGCTCGGAAGGTGAAATAGGCATAGATGTGTAATGTTATGCAGCAGACAGAAAATTCTCCCACCTGACAGCCCAAGACAAAGAGGAACCCTTGCAGCCGTCTGTCCCTCTGTGACGCGAAGCCCGGGGAGGAATGAGGTAGCGTTGTTACTTGTATTGCATGCTGGCTACGCACACAGTGCCACGTTTTACAAAATCCTACACTGGGCCAATCATCAGAATAACATTAAAATAAACCCCTAATGCTAAGCTGTTCATATGCTGAGATAAACTCGAACGAAACGCCTTAAAAATCATGTTTTGACTCCGAGACAAGCAGGCTTTGCCATCGAATGGGAAGGAAGCTTTCGAAGCCTGTGCACGGGCGGCCGGGCGTCTGCGCTGGTGCGCGTGCCGCTGAGGTAGGAACCGAGGGCTCTGCTGGCTGGTTGAGAGTTACGTTGTGTAAACCAGAGACATTTTTATATTATACTTTGAAGTTAACCCTTAAAATGACAAGCATCAAGGAAACAGGTACGTGAGATGTGCGTGTGCACACACACTTTATGGTGTGCACACACAGCGCCACTCTCCCCGACACACTCCTGAGTGTATTTGTAGAAGCCTCTAGAATATAAACAAGCCCAGCTACTTTTCTCTCATAACAGCTAAGCCAACAGCAGAGATAACACACAAACCACTGAGAATGTGCTAGGGCTGTCCCCCAAACCGCCCCTGATCACAAAGGGTGGCACCGACAGGACTCGGAAGCATGCCGGGTGGTCCCCAGACTCAGGCCCACACGGCTGCCTGGCCCGCTGCCCCCAGCCGCCGTCCGCCCCTCGGGCGCCTCACCTCGGTGAAGTGCTTCCTGACCCAAACACCACGAACTTCTCCTTTGTATCCTTTAAAACTGGGCTCTGCGCAGGTTTCTGGGAAGGAGGATATACGCGATTTTTTCAATCGCAGGAAGTTGGTCACCTACAGCTTTCACCTGACTCTCAAACACGTCTAACACCCGGTTGCCCAAGAACCACCGAACAGTGTCACGGGGCGAGCACTCGGATGAGAAAAACAGCGTTTTAGAGTAGGGCTGGACACACACAAAGAACGTTACAAAATGCCTGAGTGGACATGGCCTGCGTGCTCAACACACCAGCTCTGGGACGAGGGCGACACTCAATCTGGGGTCCAAATGCAAACCCACGGCGAAACGAGACTGAGTCTCCTTCTGTCTCACAAACCCACGTGACTGCTCTAGAGGCATTTACGTCCGTAACGATGCTGCTCACAAGTGCACCGTCAGACCTCAAAGCCGGGAGGACGGGGGACGGCCGCCGCTGACCGCGCAGGCAGGCCTCTGTCCTGACGCCTGGCTCTCGGGCACACGAGCTCTCGGGCATCCAGGGAGCCCACGGCAGCCCAGTCAGCACGCACTCGGGCGCTGAACCCCAGTCCTACTTCCTCCTGCAAAGGGACAGAGCGCCAGGAAACAAAGACCCTGAGGGACCCAGATGTGGGAGACTGAAGAGAAGGAGGGAGAACGCCAGCTTCCCAGAACCTCTACCGTCAACACTGACCAGGGGCAGGACTCTGCCCCAGGCTGCCCGCCTGCCTGCGTCCCAAGTCCCAGTGTGGCTCAGGGTCCCGTGCAGGCCACCCACTCCCTGTGTTCAGCTGAACCTGAAGAGCGAAGCTCCAGGTTGCAGGCACACAGCTCTACCCGAACAGCCCAAGTGGCGGCCGCCCCTTTCCGAGCAGCTCTCCAGCGCTCCTCCGTCGGGGCCGTCTCCTCCGGTGTCGGAACACTGCTGAGGCCGCTGGCTCCCCGTCCGTGCCCAGCTGCCTCTCCAGCAGGAACCGTGTGCAGAGGTTTCAAGGCGCCGCACTGTTTGACAGGACACAGTCTTCACTCACATGTTTGGTCTGAGTAAGGGAAAGACTTGTTACCAAGAGTCATCGCTACATTTTCACGCGTGACTTTCCGCACACAGGAAGCCGGTTGTTTCTGCAGCTCCTGCGGAGCACAGAGTGGGGCTGAGAAAGTCAGGGCCGGCTGCTCGGGAGTCCCCTGCCCACACACGGCCAGGGGTAGAAACAACATTGTTAAGAGACAGGTGCCCGTAGGAGGTTTCAAGACAAACGTCAGAACTTCAGTAGGAGACTCGACGGTTCAAAGGAAGCGGATGCACGCTCACTCGTCAGTAGTGCACTTGTCTGTCATCTGCTGACAGACGTCCGAGATGCCTGCCCCCGGCCGACACAGCTCCGTGAGCCCGGCAGGCTCGCAGGCCGCCTGGGAAGGTGGCCCCGACTCCGGGCCCCGAGCGCAGCCTGACCCGCTGCCCTTCCTGCTGGGGCCGCAGGGGCTTCCCTCCTCCGTGGGCGGCGCAGCTGGAGGACCCTCGGGGACACTCACACTGGGCGGAAACACAAGAGCACCATCAGACGTGCTCTTTCCTCTTTCGGAAATCAGAAAGGACAGCGGGCAGTCCGAGGCCGAGTACTTGGCGAGGATCTGAATCTGTTCGGGACTCAGAGCTGCTTCCTTGCAGACTTGCTGGCAAAGGCCCGTCAGGCTCTGCTTGGTCTCGCCCAGCGTGGACAAGATGCGGTCTCTCTCCCTCAGCAAGCTCTCCTTCTCGTGTTGCTGCGGAGAGAACACAGGACTTGGGTTTATCGGCTCAACCAATGTTTCTAAGAGATCAAACGTTCGTATCTACAGCATCCTCTCACTAAACAAGATCACGGGGAATTCTTCCTTTCAATTCAACTGAAAAATAAACACCTCAGGTCCCTATCCCTCACCCCAAACTCTTAGGCATGTGTACGCTGGGACTCAGGACCTTTCGGATTTCGGGTGAGTGGTGCGGGGACACGTCACTCCTCTGGCAGGGTCTGAGCAAGCACCTCACTATCGGACATCTCGACATTTCTACATAAAACATATTCAAATAGCAAATAATGTGCAAAGTAGGTAAAGTAACACAGCCCAATGTTCTCTGCATCCGTTTTGGGCCAAAACCGTGTGACACACTTGTAGAGTCTTCAGGGCTCTCTGGATTTACGGATTACAGTTAAACAAGTGTGCACTTGATGTTTTGGTTAAAGCAGAACCCAAAAAAGTACAAGCACATCAGTCAGAACTGTCACACAGGCTGCTGGCTGGAGCAGCACCGAGCCCCTGTGACAGGGAGACTCAGGCTGCGCATGCCCAGGCCTAGGACACCAAGGTCAGCGTTACTGATGTGGGAAGTGTGTGGGAAGAACTGGGGTGTGTGGGGGGGAGGGGGTCAGTCTGTCAATTATTTTTGTTGCTGTTATTATTATTAACTAATTTTTATTTCTACATGAAAGTCTAGCACAGAATTTTTCCAGCAGCCTCGCTGGTTCCTGCACTCGGCGGGAGGAGGGGCAGAGGCCATCGTGGCGGCCCCTGGCCCTTGGTGGCTGGGAGGCCGGACGCTCCCCCGGCTCTCGGCCCACACGGGGCTTTGGGAGAGGGTTTTGAACCCGCGGCTGGATCTCCCCCCACCCACGCTCGCCCTGGACTACAGTGGCCAGTGTGGCCTGAGCACGGCGGCCTGGGGCACCGCCGCCCGAAGATGCCCGCGGACCAACTCGGCCACCTTGTTCGTGGCGCATTGGGTGGGAGAACGGGTTCCTGGCACAAAGCTGACTGAGGGTGACGGTGGTTTTTCTTTGGGTGTCTTAGCGGGAATGGGGCTGAGGCTGAAACGTGCCATTATTTCCAAGACCTGGGTGATAACAGACAGCACTGCGAACAGATTTCTGTTCCATATTATTTCAGTTCTTGAACCTATGTAGCAGTGGTGATGACAAGTATTTAAACAGCTACTTTTGATATCACACTCTGACTCTTCCTTTCCCCTTACACTTGTTACCCAGACATTTTAGGCAGAAACTTGCCATTAAATAAAAGACTCATTTCTTGTCCACAAAACGCCCCTCTTCAGAGATGCGCCAGGTAGGCCGAGAGCCGAAGGACGCCCCTACTGGCGGGCTGCGGTAACAGCAGCACACGCCGCATGTCCCCTTCTCCCCGGGCTCGGGCAGCAAGCCCACTTTCCCAAGTCCAGCATCTGCGGAGAGCACCCAGGGAGTCTCAGAGAAAGGGCCGCCCGAATCCCGGAACCGGAGCGCCCTGGGCGAGCCTGTGACACGTTGCAGACGGCACAGAGCCACTGATGGGGTCACTTCCAAAGGCCACAGGAGCTGGCTTGAGGGGACTCTCCCTGGGCAAGTTTGAAAAAATGTCAACACAAAAAAGATCAATAACCATTCTGGACTCTAACAACCTAAATGAGAAAGAAATGACCCCGTGAGCCCGCGGTGACACGAACGGAGCCTGGAGGGGGTGAGGACCGCGAGCCAGGAAGGGAGGCTCTGGATGCGGAGGAACAACGTGTGTGCACAAGGCAGTCAGCCCCCTGTTTCACGGCCCGCCGTGCAGGCCGCCCACGAGAACGCGGGCTGTCTAGAGAACGAGCGACGCGCAAGCACCTGAGCAGCCACACAGATTACTGAACCACACAAACGCAACAAGTACACTGGGGGCGAGGACCTGGCCATTAGCCTGGCGCTGGCGCCACGCCCCCAAAGTGGTGCACTGTGAACCCGGACACCAGCAGGCGTCGGATCTCAGTGGAACTGCTCAAATGCCTGCTGTTACACGAAGGGATGAACTCGATAAAACCAAGGGAAAGAGTCAGCAAATATTGAAAGTGGGATATTTTGTGAGAAACATGGCCTAGACTTTTCAGAAAGTCATTGTTGTGAAAAAAGAATGAACCTGTCCTAGACTAAGCAACTAAAAAACATAACCCAGTGAGTTACATGACGATGGGACCCCGGTCTGAACAACAAGCACGTGTGTGAAATGCATTTGGGAAATGACGCAGGTGACGTGAAGAGGAGCCACACACAATAGCGAAGATTTTTAACTTCTTTCGGGCGTGATAAAGATCTGGGTGACGATGTGATGGAGATAGGGGAGAATGTCTATTTTCAGTAGCGGCATGTTTAAGCAGGTGGGTGAAGTGTCAGAATGCGGTTCCGAATGATCCACAGCAGAAAAGGAGAGAGAGCCACAGAGCCGGGCCGGGGCGGGGCAGGAAGGGGGATGAACCGACTGCGGTCAGAAGAGGCCCAGAGGGACAGGCAGGCCAGGGAGGGAGACACCCACTGCCCAGACAGACGGACGGACCCACAGAAAGAAAGATAAAGCACGTGTGGCAAAAATGCCCACAACCGCTGAATCCACATGAGGTTGTTTATCCTCCTATTCACTCAGCTTTTCCGAAAGCCTGAAATGTTTAGAATGTGAGGGGAAAAGATGTATCTCAAGAAATAATCAAAATACATGAACCTGGCTCCCTAGGAAACGACTGTACAAGTATTTAACTGACAAAGACTGTATCACATCCATCTTTAATTTCCTGGTACCCAGGACAACACTTAATACTTGAAGGTAGTGCTCAGCAGGTGTTCAGAGAAAGAGAACCGCTTTTATTTAAAGTACAACCTCGAGCACTTCTCAAGACCCGAACGGGTGCTGGGCACTTCAGTGGCTGGACTGTCCCTGCGGCCCCTGAGCCTTGCACCTGCCCCCAGGCAGCCTCCATTCTCACCCCACACCCCAAGGAGCGATGTGCCCACCAGGGGGGACGATAATTCCCCAGGCCAGGGACCCACCACGTGCCAGCTCCCAGCCGTCTGCCTCCAAAGCACCACAACCAGCGCCTGACCTGTGTGAGGCAGTGCAGCAGGTCCTCAGCACTGAACCTGCACAACACGGATGACCCTGACCTTTTACAGAGGGTGCGTGCCCCGGACCCTCCCATGTACACCACGGGCACCCCCAGAAGTGAGAGAGGGCAGTGTGCACGTGGGAGGGCAGCCAGTGAGTGTGCCCCAAACAGACTCATTTCTGATGAAGTCACGCAGTCCGCACCACAAATGCCAGTCGGGACAGACGAGCGCCAAGTCCTGCGGCCCCACCACGGGCACAGGCGGTGCGGCTGAGCGGCGTCTGAACACCACGTCGAGTGCTCCGTGACTGTCCCACTGCTGACCCCTTCTGAGTCGGCATCGGTCGGCATCGGACAACTTGTGGGAGAAACACATGGCAGTAATTTCGTTCTCTTCCGTAAAAGCAAGGTTCCCTTCATTCCGGATTTCCTTTGCTGGAGGCTTAAACGGAATTAGAGATACGCGTCTTCGAACTTCCGAACCAATCTTCCGGTAAACAATACACGTGGGCCCCGTGCAGAGTCTCACAAGGACAAGAGCTTTGTGAGCCAGACACGTCACAGAGGCTGGACGTCCCTGGATCCTGTCCCTGCCCTTCCTCTGCACGCCCAGTCTCACAGGAAGTGCTGACTCGCAGCCCAGCCTCCACCGCACCCTCAGATCCAGAATACGTGTTGAAGTCACCACCGTCCACTCCTCCACTGAATTGACACACAAGCTTCCTTTTTAAAGGCTCTCCTGACAGAACTACTTATTGAAAAATGCAACTCATTAACTTACTGAATTGGAACTGACACCACCCTTTGACTTTCTCAGCACATTAAGACCATAAAAGTGTCCTCTGTATGAATTATCCTCCTGACCCACCCTGAAGACATTTTAAATTCATCCTCACTGTGACGAACACCCTTTCAGTCTGGAGCGTACTGAGGCACCCAGGCTGCTCTCTCGGGACCAACGGCAGAGGGTCACGGCCTCCAGCCGGAGACAGGGCCCACGGAGCAGGGGCCTCTGCTGGCTGTTACCGGACTGGGCAATGTAGACTGTGAGTTTATTCCTATGTTCATCTGATCAATCACTGGCTGTAGCAAAATGACTGTTTATGAAGCACGCAGCTTCCCTGGAGTCAGCTGCAGAACGCCCCCCAGACGAGGAACACTGGGGGTGCTGCCTGCCAACCGGCCATGCTGTCGAAAAGGGGCTCTCAACTAAAAAAGAGGGCACGGCCCCTCCTCCGCAGCCTCCACTCTCCGTGCTGCGACTCCGAGCGAGAGGCAGGAGTGCGGCTGGGACTGGTTCCCCGCCTCGCTTCACGGAAGACGAGATCCGCAGTGCCACCAGTAACCAGGGTCCAGGGAAAGTTCTTCATGTACGTATCTCAGGCATCAGATTCTTCGCCTTCCAGTTTTCACATGGCGCACGTTCTGCTCAGTTTCATCCTCAGGAGGCACTGAAGCAGGGTGGAAATTTGTAACACGCCCCTTACACTTCATGAGTGGACTCTGCCTGCACATATCACCAGACCTGAGAGCAGAGCTCAGGAAAGCTGAAACGAGGCTCGTCACTCTGACTTTAAAAAGTAACCCTGCTGTCTCCTCCGGGGCTATTGCGGAGAGGAGGAGACAGAGAGAGCTCAGCAGGGCACACCCGGCGAACAGACCTGGGCGATCGGGCCTGTGAGCCCTGCCTGCCGGAGGGGTGGGCTCAGAGCAGCCGCGTGTCTGCTGTGAGTCAGGGGAGGACACCTGGCCAGAATGGGCCGACGACACGCTCTCCTCCTTGGGAATTTAGAGCGGATGCACAGGTGTCAGTCCAAACCTGGTGGACTAACTGGCTGAACTAAAGCTGCAGTCCCCTCTGCAGCAGTCCCTGGAGGAGGAGGGTCCCAGGAGCTGCGCCGCAGCCACCCGGGCTGTGCAGGGGCAGCGATGCGCTCTGAGAGGTGTGCGTGGCGCCTGGCGGTCATCCCTTTTCCTGTGCTGTGCTCACCAGGCCGGGCTCCCTCTGGCTTCCAAATGACACACCTCCACCCTCACAGCAAATCCATCCATCCTCCCACTCACCCATTATCCACCACCCATCCATCATCCATTCAGATGCCTTATTTCTTATAGCCTAAGAGTCCAGATCAGTAACACAGGGAAACAAGGTACTGACCAGTCTAGCTTTTTATTTTATAAGAACTGCTGGGAAACCAAACATGCCTTTGCATTGGAAAGAACCAGCAGGTACTCCTGACAATTTGAAAGGAACCTTACTGGACTGAGAGAGGCAGTATAAGGGGGGGGTCCAAACCTGAAGTGTATGGTTTGGGCAGAGCAATGAAGAAAGAAGAAACTAAGGAAGAGAAAACTGAAAACAGGTCAGTAGATAGCACAGCAACAGGAAGACCGACAAGGGCAGTGTTCACTGGGAGCACACAATGCGCCTCGCACTGTCCTGAGCTCTTCAGCTGGGTTAACTCGTCTCATCTGCACGAGCCCCACTCTGGGGAGCGAGAGTGAGTATGAGCCCATTTCACAGACGAGACACCCGAGAGACACTACACAGCCTGCCCACAGCTACAAAGTGCCAGTGGCGGGAGCTGGAGCCAGAATCCCACCCTCCAGACACGGTCGCCCACACCCCCTCTGCTGAAGCAAAGGCACAGGGCGGGGAGTCCGAAGGAAGGGGCGCAGCCCCTCCTTCCCAGAGATCTGAGATGCAGCAAGGAGAGCGCGTGTCCAGCACCCAACACCTCACGTCCATCAAAAAATATAAACAAGACCTATAAGCCGGGAAGTGGACTCGTTCTAAAAGGTAACGGCTACTCCCCAATACATCTGCTGAGCATCCATTTATAAATAACGCTACTTATGAAACAGACTTGATTGATCTAAAGGTTTGTTTTTGTTTGTTTTTAGGAGAGGAGGAAATTCTACCTGCAGCTATCACCCACTGAGGAAGCAACACCTAAAACACGGAGGTCTAACAATGGTAATAGTATAGTTTTATGCAGATTCCAAGTAGCTCGACATGACCCAAGAGTCTAAAAAGCATCTCTGCCCTTCAGTACAGAATCATCGAGAAGGCACAACACACCTAACGGCAGGTGGGTGTCCAGTTCAAAGCTGGAGCACGTGAAAGAGCTCGAGAGTGTTTGGTTCGGACTGACAACCCCGCCCCTGAACACTGAACACTGGGTGAACACGCCTGAACTCACAACTTTCCTTCTCTGAGCCCAACCATGTGATCACTCTGTGAACTCGCACAGGTTTTCTAACCTTCCTCATGCCTTCACTGGCAAAATATCTGCTTTCCACTTCATCCTTGCACAGCCGTGCTACGTCTTTTCACACAGGTGTATATCTTTCTCTTTCTGCACAAGTGTATACAAAATGCATAATTTTTCCCACTTTTTTGAAGGTATATAAAAGCGTTTTTCTACATTGTTTAATTGTAACTCAGCTAGAATGTTCACGCTTAAAGATCTGCTACAATAACGCACCCGCCCTGCACGCTGAGGGCGGGCTTCCGCTGTCCTAACCCAGCTCCAGCCCTTCCTCCTTCGCCACTAGGGGGCAGAGAAACAGGTGCAAGCTCACCCACTTTTCTGTTAATGTATGTTTCCATCCTGGAATAGAAACTAAGATCCAATAAAGTAAGCATTCTTCGCACTCAGGGTCTCAAGAGATCTTAAGATTTTCCTTTCATATCAGCATGTGAATTTTTTCCCTTAGATACAAGATCCAAGTTGGTTTGTTTTGGTATCAACCAAACAAGTTACTCAAGTCCATGGTTTATTTAAACTAACAACTGAACCATTTAAGTTCCATAAATGCCAAACACAGCACCAAGAAACCCAGTGCCTCATAATTTCTTTAGTCTTTACTCAACCACTAAGACTTAGGTAGACAGTAAAATTATCCTTAACTTGTAAATCATTTAAAAAGCTCCCAGAAATTGCTCTCAACTTACACATTATAGCATATAATATGTAGAATACTTACATAAGTAAAATATTCTGTGACCATCCTCTTTTTCGCTTCCTAAGTTTTCTGAAAATGTCATATAATTTATATGCTTAAAACGGTGACTGGCGAATTTAAAACTGAGGTATAAGTGAACACTACGATCTGACTTAGAAACCGCAATGCTCTCTCCTCCACGGACAGGAGGAGGGGAGGGGACCTGGGGGACAGCGGCAGGAGCCCCGCCCTCACCAGCTTCTCGATCTCCGACTCCAGGTTCTGTATGCAGTCGAGCTTCCTCTTGCGGCAGCGCTGGGCGGCGATCCTGTTCTTACTCCTCCTCCGAATGTCGTGGATGCAGTCCAGCTGCTCCGGCGTCAGCTTGTGCATTTTCAACAGGGATTGGAAGTCGTTGCGAGAGAGGGAAATTATTCGTTGTGCGTTAAATGGCAGTTTCACCTAGAAGGTGAAATGAGCATTAGTTGTTGTCCTACATTTTATAACTACACTTAAACCCAGGAAGAGAAAGACAAGTCTTTGTTTCCCAGAAACCTTCGTTTAGACTTAGAAAAAAAGTGGTCTCTATTCCCAATTACTTCACAATTCCTTATAATAAAGATTGATATTTTTTGCTATTTCTAGTCTCTTTTAAAGAGGGTTCAGAAGACAAATAAATTGAGAAGCAGGTATTTTTATAAGCAAATCAAACATTAACACAAATATTAATAGATTTAAAATAAAAAGACAGAATTTATCCTATGAGGACATATTAACGCCCCACAAATATCTTTATGCCTCTTTCTAAAGTGTTTTTATGATGTGTTTTCACCCAGCCTCCTGCCACAAATCTACTTTATTCTTTGATTTACATTAAGGTGTGGTTCTTTTTCAATACTAGTATGATTACTCTAATATTTCTAAAGCACTTCAAAAAATGTATTTTTCTGTCAGGAAATGGTAGTTTCACTTAACTTGTTTTAAAAACTACACATCTCATTTGCTAATGTAGAAATAATTAGAAAAGCCCTGTAAATATTATAATTCATTTTCAATACATATCAATTTGGAAAAGGAAATTTTTTAATGACAAAATTGTGGGACAGTTTAATTATATTAATGAGCAAAAACACAAACACACTGGTCAGTTTCTCTAGCAACCTACTTAGTTTGCTACACAAATGAAACAAAATGATTTCTAATTTTCTTCGATGTTCTATTTTTAAACTTCTCATAGTCCCAAACCCTGGACTTGTAAACACCACACAAAAGCCTACCAATGGAATACACACACACACACAGCTTCTCCAATTAAATCGCCCGTCGCCTCCTCCAGGAGCCGAGGTGAAGAGCGACCCCTTGTCCTTCCCAAACCTGCGCTGCCCACCAACTACGAAACCAAGGGCCGGTGCAGGGAAGTGCGAGTCCCCACTGTCACGGGACTGCAGGACTGTCTGCCAAAGAGCAGCCATCAAACACACACCCTGCACTCGAAGTGCGCAGAGCGTGCCTACTGGGACAGACGCCATTCCAGCTACACACAGCACCTGCTAAATTATTAAGACGTTCACTAAATTAACACCGAAAGGATTAAGGGGAAATGAAAAACAACACTGGCTGTGAAAAACTAATTCAGAGAAAACTCCTCAGGGGCAGCGACCTCCCAGGGACCAGCCCAGGCCCTGGTATGGAGCCCTGAGGCCACCCTTCCCGGGAGGGGCCTGCAGTCACCTCAGAACCATTATTCTTTTCCTCTTGGGACATGGCATTGGACACAAACAGTCGAACAGCCCGGGTGTGATTCCGCGCCACAGCTAACATAACACACCTGGGGAAATCTGGGGACGCCAAAGCCCTCACCTGTCACACCCTGGCACAGACCACTAGGTCCGTGTGCGGGTCTCCCCCTCCCTGGGCCTGCACCGGTGCCTAGTGCTGCGCCAGGAGCTGACACCAGCAGTCCCAAGGAACGGTGGCAAACAATGGCCCAGCCGCACCCGCGCGTCCCCTCACCTCGCATTCCTGCTCTCTGGCTGAGCAGGGCTCACTGTCCCCTTCAGTGTCTGTCTCCGAGTCGTCTCCCAAGGTGATCACACAAGCGTACGGACAGGGCTCCTGCTGGGGCCCGGAGGCACAGTCGTCGGTGCCAATGTCCACGCTGCCGGGCCGGCCTGCGGCGCTCAGGGTGCTCATAAAAGGGCAGCCGACAGAACTTAATGTGGCAAAAGTCCTCTGATCCGGCTCTGGGCTCTCACTGATCCTGATCCCCAACCAGGGACACTCCGACCGTTTCTGGGGGTGAATCTGTTCCGACCCAGCTTTGGCCAGGCCAGGGGACACCTGCATTGGGCAAGGAGAGGCCATGCCGCAAACGTCACTCCAGAAGCCCTTGGCCAGGTGCTCGGCCACTTCCCGCTCCACGCTACTCCGGGCAAGGCCGCTCTCTTCCCTGGGGCTGGAGTCAGATTTCAGATGTAAGTCTTGGCTTTCAGCAACGGTCTTCTCTCCTCCAAAGTCGGGGCCCGACAAAGGCTTTTCCGTTAACAGTGCTGTGCTTTGCCCAGCGGCAAAGTTCAAGTCACCGTACTGGTCGTAGGTGTGTAGGAGGGAGAGAGAGTAGAGCCCGGGGGGGTCTGTGGAAGAGCCGTGGGGGAGGGGAGCCACTTCGGCCGCTGCTGGTGGGCACTGAGAAGCAGGGTCTTCCCCGGTGTCTGTGCGTTCCATCGCTGGGCTGCTTTCTTCACATTTTAAAGCCACCGGCACGTCTGCACAGTCCTGGACGCCCCCCGCACACTCGTCTGCAGAAGCCTCACACGGCCGAACAGAAGCATGCACGTCTCTGAACCCCGTCTCCACGGCTCGGACTCTGTCGGTCCCGAAGGCCTTCTGGAATTTTCTGTACTTGGGGCATAAAGACGGCAGAGCCAGAGCGGTGCCCCCTTCTAGGCACATGGCCTCGCACGTCTGACTGGCACTGTCTTGCAGAGGAGGCGGTACTTTTGGGTCCCCTTGATGTTCACGGAGTTTACACTGAGGAGCTGGAGCATTTTTGTGTCTCCAAAATTCCTCCGCCTCATCAACTTCTAAATCCCTCTGGTCCAAAAGTGGAATTTTAAGGTCTGTTTTCTGACAGTGTGGTGGGAAGCATTTTTTTCTTGGGCATTCTTGCTGCTCTGCAGTGGCGTCCACAGACTTAAACTTGAGAAACTGAAAGCAGGACTCCTCGATGTCATGTACCCCTAAAATGCCCACACACTTGCACACTTCATCCACATTGTCCTTACTGAGGAGAAGTCTAGCGGTGTAGGCAAACTGAATCAAAGGTTCGAATCCTTTAACCGTCACCTGTTAACACACAAAATAGAAACAAGCGCATCATTTGAAAGCTGCCCAGGAGATGCACACGAGGGGGAGGGGCAGAGATGAAGAACTGACCTGTGAGCATGAGGACACAGGCGCCCCGCCCTGTGGAGACGCTAAGGGAGTCGGGCAGAGCCGGCCGGTCACACTGGCTTCCTGGGACCAGCCCACTCCGAACAGAGCCCGCACTCACTGACACTGTGACGGGGGCTGTGCCGTGCTCGAGTGAGGGAACAAAGACAAACAGCATGACTCTCCCCCATCAGCAGAAACCAGTCCTCAGAGGTGCAGGGCGACCGTGATGCACAGTCAGGCCCCAGGCACCCCCGGCCAGCCCCACTCCACGCAGTCAGTGCCCCCAGCCCCAAATGCCCTAAACCGGAAAAGTGAAAACGCTAAAGATAAAAAATATATATCTGAAGGACTTACAGTAGTCCTGATCCACAGTAAATAGTAACTGTTTTCTTTATCTCATGCCAAAACCTCTAATAAAATTTTTAAAGATTCGGATTTAAAAAGTGAACAAAGTGAAGTGTAAAACTCATGCCTAACACTGTTTGGCAAAGATTCACAGACTCAAGGTAACAAAACCTTTAAGCTTCTAAATGACATAAAATAGAAAACCAGCAACAGCAGCAACCCTGCTGAGGACGCAGTAGAACCGGGGGCTGCGGGGCCGCCGGTGGGAAGTGTGATGGGCAGGCCACCAGTTTTCTGTAAAGCCAAAAACACGGCCACCGCGTGTCCTGGCCACTGTGGTCAGGTCCTTCTAGTAACTTTATTTGTGATAGCCAAAAACTAGAATTAGCCTAATTTCCTTCAACGGTAAACTGATACATCCACACTCTGGCACACTACCGGGCAATACAAAGAACTACTGATACATGCAACCCAGACAAATCTCCAGGGAATTAAGGTAAGTGGGAAACCAGCCAATCCCAAAAGGTCACACAGCATGTGATTGAAATTATATAACATTTTTGAAACGATAAAACAAGGACAGATCAGTGGCTGCCTGGAACCACTCAGCATCTCCACTGTGGTGGACACATGGATCTCACAAGGGAGGGGTCTGACTGAACCCCACACACACACACACAGCTTAGTGCATCTAAAACCAAAGAACCTGAGAAAGAAGGCGGACTGTACTGATGGCCGTGTCTTGGCTATGGTATTGCACTGTCGTTTTGCAAAATGTTATCCCTGGAGGAAACTGGCCGAAGTGTACAAGAAACACCTATGTTTTTGTGATTTACAAGTATCTTAATATAACTTCAATGAACAATTCTTAAAAATACACTGAAATAACCAAAAATGGCTTCTACGTTAGTGATCTGTGTCTTTTCACCAAGGCACACCCCCACTGCGACACTCACCGCTGCCCTTTAGAAACAGTGGCTACCGCACAGCCGACCTCCCCTGTCACGTGGTCGGCATTGCCTGGCCCGCTCCCACCTCTGACACCAAGCTGACGTGGGCACCCCTGAGCGGCGGGCATGACTGAAGGCGCGCACACACGCCTGGCCACGCAGGCGGCCCACGCAGGCCTGGTGCACACAGGGCTCGGGCACTTTCTCGGATTCCCCTCAACGAGCTCTCGTCTGAGTCCCCCCAACTGGGGGCTGTGCCAGGCCCCCAGCTCTCCTGGCACAGTCCCCAACTGACGTGTCCTGTTTGTTCTTGGGGTCAGGGAGCCAGCCCACCCCAGCCCAGGAAAGGTTTCAGGGTGCAAACGCTGAGAACCCCGCCCCAGGCTGGCAGAGGAAGATCCATGAGAACAGACTCTCTAATGTGGCCCAAGACGGTCTGTCTCCTACCCCTGCACGGTCACAATCTCAAGAAACGAGGAGAGAAAGGGAACAAGGACACTTCGGAGCACCGACCTCCCCGGGGATATGCCGTAGCGCATGGCAGGAGCGACGGGACCCCAAACCCAGGCACCAGCTCCCGTCCCAGGGAGAGGTCCCAGGGAGAGGACCGCCTGTGGCGTGGCCTCTCCAAATGTCCTGACTCCACTTGCTGAGCCCTGCTTTGGTCATCGTATCAGAAATAATATAAGTTCTTCATCTGCTCTATAAAATACTCTGAACATCCAAAATTAGTGATTTTACATGCAAAATGTCATCATTTTATTTTAAAAGTTCAAGAAATGTTCTGCTGCAGAACCTAGGAACTGTTCCTGAGTCTCAAAACAAGACGGCTTCATTTTCGACTTAATGAACCACAGAGGTTCAGCTAAGTCACATTAAAGTAGAACCAGGGTGATTTCCGGGGGGCAGCCTCACCTCTCCTGGGAGAGCAATGCTGAGCTCCGCGTCGGCCTGGCCCACGACCCTCGCGTGGAAGTAGCTGCTGCAAGCCGCCAGCACAGAGCGGTGGGCGCGGAAGGGCCGCCCCTCCACCAGCACGGTGACGTCGCACAGCACGTCCCTCTTCCGCTGCTCGTCCAGGCTGAGCAGGACGTTGGCGCTGTGCACGGAGGACTCATAGGCAAAGGCCGCGCTCTCGCTCAGCGACATCCTGCGTCACGCACGGCGCTGCGAGGCCCAGTGGGCGCATTCTTCTCGCCGTCGTCGACCCTGCGGGGAGACAGCGAGACTGCACTGAGTTAAAGTCTTGCTACGCCTGCTCTAAAAACGGCAGTGTCAAAGGTACAGCGAAACACTTCCCGACAGCAAAGATAAAAACGAAGCCCCCGAGAACCTGGAAGCACCTATCCGATCTACGTCGTTCCAAAGCGGGTCTTTGCGGCCCTTCTTCCAACCAGTTCAGGTGCGAGGTCCTCAGGAGGAAGGAGTTTTGAACCGAGGGTTAACGGTCTCTGACAGAGACATCCCACACCAGGGAAGCGCCTCTGAGGAGCGGCAGCCGGTCGGGGAATGCATGGGTGGCACCTGCGCCGCAATGGGCGTGGGCGTGGGCGTGGGGGTGGCCCGAGGTCCCAGCTGCGAGGGGGCTGGGGGCTTCAGAACAAGGGACTCGCTCTACCAAAGGCAGAGCTCCTCCGACCCTGGGAAGAAAGTGACTTCTCCAAGAAAATGCTCAAGTCCGTCAGGCCGGATCGTGTTAACGAGCCCTTCCTGCCCCGAGCCCGACTCCACACGACACAGTGCAAGGACAAGCGAGACTCTTTCATCACTGAAAACACGGCTCACACGCAGAAAGGCTCCCGGTTTTCTCAAAATGATAAAACACAAGAGAATGTTACCAAAATGTGTGTTTTTAAAACAAAAACCAACACAGGGCAGCCTCCAGACATTTTTTGATCACATACACACTACTTGCAAAAAAGCCCCGGCCTCTGTGTGTCTGTTCACTGTGTGTTCACGCGGGCACTGCTGGTATCACACGCAACACACGCTTTCAAACCCACAGACGCTGGAGGTGAGAGGGCAGGAGGGCTCCTGTTGCCGGACGCCAGTGGGGTGGTGAGTGCCCGGGGCGTGTGGCCCTGTGACCCGGGTCCCTTCCTGTGACGGCCCCTTCGTTCTCCGACACCTTAGTCACTGCCTGAAGCAGGAAGGTCCCCCCCCCACGTGCTCAGTGACTGAGCCACTGTCACTGCTCTCAGACGCTCTCCCCTCCAAACAGGAGTGAAGAGAGAACGAGGACAAGGACGCCCAGACGGCCCAGGCCAGGTCCCCGGGAATCCCTCCTCCGAGGCACAAACGCGTGAAACGCACCCCAAAGCCCCATCCTGCTCGAGTGTTCATCTTCAAGGTGTTTGGCGTTGTAGCCAAGAAGCAGTCGGCGACAACTACTCACAGGCTGACTGTGAGACACGGATGTCGGGTGCCGGCCCCAAGGCCCATCGGCTGCAGCCAGGAGAAGCTGGAGAGGCAGGTGGGGAGGAGCGCGGAAGGCCCTGCACCCGCACGGAGCACCCGCACGGAGCACATGCACCACGACCGTGGTCTCCCACCCACACCCGGGCACACCCTCCCCACGCCCCCGAGCGCAGTCTCTCACCCGGTGGCTGCCACCGCCCCTTCACACCGAGACCCACTCCTCACCACCAACACCGCCGCGACGCCTGTCCACGCCAGCACTCGCTGGTCAACAGACATGCAGTTCACTTTCTGCAACTGCTTCCCAGCGCACAGACGCACAGATACAATTATATAAAATAAAAGGGGAAACAAAGTCCCACATACCAATACTTCACCTTCACTGGTGCAAAGCGCTCTGGTTTCCGTTCTATTTTTAAATGTCCAGGTGTGACCCCCTCCGTTTCAAGAACCACTCACTACTAAACCCTCACCTCTCGCCGTGAAAGCACAAGCCAAGCGGCCCACGGTGCAGGGGTCAGAGTCCCACACCGTCCGGTTCAACCCCAGCCCTACGGCTCACTGACCACTGACCTGAGGCAAGCTGCTTGCCCTCCGGGCTCTTCTCACCCGTAACAGAGCTGAGAGCAGCGCCCGCTGGGCTGTCGTGCCAGCTACCTGGGACGGTGCGGGTGAAGGGGTCAGTGTGCTGTCCAGCCTGCGGCAAAGGAAGGGTAAATATCAGCTGCTATTAATGACAGTAACAAAGTTCCTTTCCCCTCAAACCCTCTCGATCGATACCATCTCACTTATTCCTCCAAACGAAAGGGATTCTCCCTTGCCAAAAACCCTGTAGTGTCTTCCAAACTTCATATGATCAATTTTAGACCCTCAGCAGGTCCTCAGACCTGCATGGTCAGACTTTCTACCTATTAATCCAACGTTCTCTCGAGTCTCTGACTCCCTCTCATGCTGTTCTCCAGCCTCACCCTCCTCCCCCCGCCCCACAGGCACCGACCCCCCTCCAGCCGCAGGGCCCGGGCTGCACCCACTGCCCAGCTTCTACTGTTCCACTGGCTGACACCTCAAAACGCTGAGGTCTCTGCTTAAACGTCAAAACCTTGCCTGACTCGCTTTCTAACCTCAAGCCTGTGACACAGCACCTGGTCCCATGCAGGGACTTGCTTCTGAATGAGTGACTTGGTGTTTTCATTACAAGCCCACACCGCAGACTGTCTACGTCTTCCTCCAGCACAGCGCAGTCTGCTACCTCCCTGCGTGCGCCACGGAGACAGGCCCTCGAGCGCAGCCCTGCGCAGCTTTTCCGGGGCCAGAGGAGCGAGTGAAAGGAGCGGGCGCTGGAAATGTCCCTGCAGGACAAGGGACCCCAGACAGCAAGGCTGGGCGACTGTGGGCACGGCCACCACAGCTGCCTCGGGTGGACGACGCCCTGCGACCCTGCCTCATGGGCACAGAGCACCAGAGAAAGCCCCTCTGAAAGTCGTTTTTCCTAATTCTGAAAACCATTCGAGTGGTCACTGATCCCTTTTTCCCCAGCAGTGCAACTAAGCCGTGAGTAAACAGGTAAGAACGGCACAGGCCCTTCCAACACCGGTCACCTTCCCACACTTCGCACACCTGCGAGGTGAGACCCAACTCCCCCGGACCCCAGACTCTGGTCCCTGACTAACACAAGATCTGGGTTCTTTTGTTACACATTTTTCCTGTATTCTCAGAAATATATAAGCTATCGTTAAAATTCAAAACAAAGGTTTGCTGACCTCAGCAAACTGCCGATCGGTGATGCTGACCAAGGATGAAGACGGTCAAAGCTTCCTGAGCCCCCTTCACAAATAAGTCCTGCCCTCCACTCAGCTGCACTGGTGTGCTGCAGCGCACACCTGAGGTCTGTGCTCTCAGAGTCCTACAGAAAGGGAGCAACGACACTGTGACTTCATCGCGGGTTAGTCATTTCACGGGCCATTTAACATCAAAACCCTGCGCAGTTGTGGAGCCCGGCCACGCCCTTTGCGGCGGGAACTCAGCAGGAGCCGTGTGGGGACCGAGTCCACCCGCGTGGACGGCCTCAAGTCTCACGGACGGTGCCTTTAAGTCCTCCACGGAGGGCCCACAAACTATGTGGTACCGAAGGCCCACAGAAAAGACAAGACTCTCACCAGACACTCCGCGTCTTCACTGGCCAGTGGCGCCCGCCGTGTGCACGGCACAGCAGGCCCCGTACAGCGGTGGCGGCCTCTCGCTCAGGAAGAGCGGAACCCAGAGATGCCCGAAGGAAAAATGACGCCTTGGGCGGAAGGAGGACCCTCACAACAGGTCTCACCGCCCCCTGCACCCAGAAGCCGCCCTTCCCTCCCACCCCAGTCCAACGCAGGCCAGGGCACCCCCCCCCCCCCGCTGCAGCTCCCCTGGCTGCCTCCTGCACACCACACACTCCCAGCCAGACCCAGCTGCGGGCCCCCAAGGTACCCAGGGCATGCCATCTTCAGACACCCAGCGGGGAGGGGGGGGCGGCAAAGGCCCCATGGCGTTGCGTACACACACCTTTGGTCCTTTGTCTTTCCTTTAGGGGCCTTTATAAGAACTTTTTTAACTTAAGTGGAGATGTGCACAGGAAAGAATTTCTTTAAAAACAGGGCTTTTCTTGTTACCACTCCCAATTCTGAAAGAACCATAACATCAAAAAGTCTGTGGGCATTTAAATCAGAGACAACAATGTCAGTCAGCCCTCTTTCCAACACTTTAAGACTTAACTCGGCTGGCGGGAAGAGCCAGGAAGAATGACGCCGTGACCGAGACTTGCTATTTTCTTTCAGCTGCAGATCTTAAACATCACCCTTGTTTAAACATCATATCGGATAACCACATTTTCGAAATCCATCTCTCTCGGTCGTACAGAAAAGTCTTAAGTATGACTAGATAAGGCGCTCGGATGAACCAAAACAGGCTGAATGGAAATGGAAAGCGGAAGTGCTCCATCAAGTCCCCCTGTGTCATAGGCTCACGGGACGACACACCGGCTGAGGCACTTTCCCAGCGACAAGGGGGAAAGCGAGCTGGTGCTCCGGGCCGGACTCCGTGCCGCAAGCACCACAGGCAGCAAGGGGGGGGGGGTGTCTGTAGTCCTCGCAGCTCAGGACGTTACAGCATTATGTTTATGTTAGGTTCCGTACAGGGAAGGTTAGGTTTTTTCCACTTTCTCTTCCTAACGTTAAAAATTACATATCCACAGATCTTTGTTACATTCACTCGGTGTAATTCCATACCTAAAGTACAGAGCTGCAGTTAGAGGGGAGCAGTCTGAATGGTCACAGAGTGCAAACAAGTTTACAGACTCACCCGCCGAGAGGTCAGACACAAAAGGTAGGTTTTTACCCCCCAAGTCAACAAACCCAACTTTGACGTTCCTGGGCGGTGAGTTTAAAACAGCTTGGAAGGGAAGAAAGGAAGAAAGAGGAGAAGGGACACAGGGAAGCCAAACTCTAGAACCAAAACCAGAAACACTGATTCCACTGTGACATTTTCTTACTGTTGTACAGAGAACTTAAACAACAATGAAGTCTTTTATTTGCTTAACATATTTAGTAGCAACTTGGTCCCTGACAGGACCATGACATCGTAATGGAATAGGACTACGTTAAGAAAATATGAACTAGCAAGGGGAACTGGCCCATACCAATAAAGCTAATTTACTGAGTACATATTTTTATCATGTACCTGTCCACTACTATTTTATTTATCCACATTCAGGTTATGAATACAAAGAACAATTATTTAAGGTATACAGTTCAGTGAGTTCTGGCACTTGTACACGTGCACAGTCAAGACAGACATCGCTGTCCCCCCTCGAGACGCCACAGGCCCCATGAGGTCGCTCTCTCCCCTGGCTCCCAGTGACCAACAACTTGTTTTGTGTCACTACTCACTGGTGTGCGTCTTCTGTGAAACCACACATTGCGTCCTCTGGCTCGGGTGTCCCTCCCGCAGCTTCATGACAACCCTACTGTGTGCATCAGTAGTTCGGGTCTTCTCGCTGCTCGATAACTCTCTCTTTGGTGGAACTTCCACCGTTCGTTTACCCACTTAACCACGGACGGCGATCGCGATGCAGGTGGGCAGCGGCACTGCTTCCAGTCTGGGACCACGGTGATACGGCTTCAGCGAACAACTGCCCGGACACACTTCCTTCTCTTGGGTAAATGAACACCCAGGAGCGGGGGACTGAGTGCTATGGCAGGTTTATGTTTAACTTCTCAGAAGTTGCCAAACCATCTTCCAAAGCAACGGCCTCACTTCACACTCTGCCAGCAGAGTGGAAGAGTCCGGCTGCTCCCACCTCACCAGCCCTGGGGCGTCCGTGGCACCTGGGCTGCCCCGACCACGCACTGTGGTACCTCCCTGTGGTTTCCGTGTGCACTTCCTGATGGCACCTGTCTGTGTGTTTCCCGGCCATTCATCCATCTTCTTTCGTGAAACGCCGTCTGTTCAATTCTTCTGTCCATCTTTGACTGGGCTGTTTTCTTCTTTTCACTGAGTTTTAGGAGCCAGCAGAGTTTTGATTAGGACCGCAATAAATCTACATGCCCACCTGGGGGAACTGACTTCCAACAACCGGGTTTTCTGACGCACAAACATGGCACGTCTCCCCATTTCCTTACATCTTCTTCCATTTCTCTCAGAATTTTCCCAATGTTTCTAGCAAAGAAGTCATGCACATCTTTTGTTAAATTTATTCCCAAGTAGTTTGTTTTTTGAAGTTACTATAAATGGACTTGTTTAACTTCACTTTCTGGCTTTTTGCTGCTACTCTAAACATAAAACTGACTTTTTTACTGTGGCATTTTGCAAGCTTACTTAATTCACCTATCGCTTCTGACTGTGGCTTTGTAGCCTCCTTAGGGTTCTCTCTGCGCACGGGCAGTCATGTCACCTGCACACAGAGACAGTTGTACCTCTTCCCCGCCTTCGTTTCCTCTTGTCCCTCTCACGGTGACCCCATGGTGAGCGTGGAGACAGAGGGCACCATGGAGGCCGAGATGCCTCAGTCCCTGTTCAGCATCTCACCGCTAAGCACGATGCCAACTGCAGGCCTTTTAAGATGAGCAGCTGAGGAGCAGAGAGGGTTGTGCTGTAGCTACGTCCTGTTCAGCTCAGAGCTCCCAGAAGAAACTGAGAGGGAAAAGCAAAGAATAAAAATTCCAAAAAATTCCCCCAAAGGAGTAAAAATTCCCAGACTCAGCCTCCTCCAAGGGTCCCCTCATTCCTACACCACCCCGTGGGCACTCGCTGCAGGCACACCGAAGAGGGCAGAGGTCATCAGGGAGTGGCCAGCGGGTGGACCGCAGACTCCACCCCTCCGTCCCAAGCCCACAGAGGGGGCAGCAGCGCTTGCTCCTGGGGTCCCTGAGCGGACAGCGCAGAAGAGCCCGGACGCGTAACGCCAGCCCGGCCTGGCCGAGGGGCACACGAACATGCACAGTGTTCTAAGAACACTGGCCTGGCATGTACTGAGTGCTCGCCAATCATTAGCCGACACCTGGGTTCGATGCCAGGAAAGGTTTTGGGGGCACAGGCAGACGGTGAGACTGCAGGGAGGGAGAACGGCCGTCAAGCCTCAGCACCGCACACGGAACACCACGAACACGGTCAGCTGGTTTTCAGACCAGACAAATAATGTAAGGCTTAATGACAGCTAGAGAATAGAATGTATATGAACCCCAGTGAAATAAACGTACAGCTGAGGCTGGGAGATGCCATCCCAGAGAACTGAAGGGCACAGAGGTATTGTTTCAGGGAGAGACCAGAGTCAGGGCCCCAACCACTCACCCGGAGCTTGTGTCTGGGTTCCTCTCTCACTCGCAAGACACGGATTCCAGCGCGAGACGGACCCGTGTGGCAGAAATGAGAGAGTTTACTCATGAAACACACACAAGCAGGTGCTGGGCAGGTCTGAATGCCCCACGTAGAGGGACGTGAAGCCGTCAGTGAGCTTGTTTGATACACTTGAGCTGAGGCTACAAGTGGGCACTCTGCTGATCTGGGTGTACTGACTTTTGGGGTTCAGGAGCTATTATACCTCTGTCAGCTTCTAGGCTCCCCCCTCCTTCTTCCCCACTAAACCGTGGGAGTAACGTGCAGCCACAGTTCCTCTCGGCTAGTAAAGGCTCTTTGTCTCCAGTAGTGAGACTGCCACAGTGGCGCCCCTTCCCAGCCCAGAGTCCCAAGGACTCCCCTCCTCCCGCGCTGTCCCTGCTGGTGACCTTCTGACCCCCCTCCCCCACAGTCTTATCGGACCAGGCTCAGGACTGCTGAGTCATGACATGACTTCCTTTCCCTCTCTGCCTCCTGTTTAAAGTTCTTCGTTAGACTGTGACGGAGGGGCCCCTGCTTCATTTTCCCTCCGGCCACTCATTTCTAGCTGCTGTCTACAGGAACAGTATGTCTGCATGACTGATAATATCCAAAGGCAAAAAGGCGCTTACTTAGATGAATGAGACAACTAAAAAGATAATTCTGAGTTGTAGAGGTAACCAAGGACAGAAGTAAAATAGTAAAAGTAATACAGTCATAAACATAGGTGAGCGGCATGGCAGAATGAAACAAAGACCAGTAACCCTGGTAACAGCAAACCAACAGATCACGTCTGAAGTTCACAGATAAACAGGCACAAACATCTTAGAGACACAGAAGTAAGCAAGCACCTAAAGAATTAAAAAGCAAAATGGATAAACATAAGTATTAACCATGAAGCAGAATCAGAGGTGGGATGGGGGGCAGCAGATGAGGCTTCTTTCTGATAAATCTCTGTATTTTTTTAAAAAAAACATGTATCATTTTGATTAAAAACACAAACTAAAAAAATGTATAAACAGAGAGTAGACCAAAAAAAGTAAAACTCGGTTAAGTCTAAATTGTTGACAACTTGGTTGTAAGTCTTAAATGCAACTTTTTGAAGATTCTACAAAGAGAAAAAGAATCTGATAAAAAGGTCAACCTCTAACGGAAACCTTGGATGCCGATGTAGAAACCAGGAGGTGGGAAGGCAGAAAACAACGGAGAAGACGTCTCGGCTGGCCACGCCGCCCCGTACACACCAGGGCCGGCCGGACGGCGCCTGTGCGGGAGGAACCGCAGACCTGCCACCGGGCCTGCCGGAAGCCACGGCCCACACAGGAAATCCACTCACGGTGCCAAACCGCACGTTTGCTTTTGGTCGAACCGTTGAACTAAACCACGGGCTGATTCTTTGAGAAGACCGATAAAATGAACAAATTTCTGCAAAGTCTCAGTAAGACAAGACGAAAAAAAAATGAACATGTAGCATTTCCATTATTTCTATTATCACACGAAACACACTGCTCCGACTCTCCTCTTAGAAGAACGCGTCTGGACCCTCCCCGGACCCTGCAGTCTACAGTGAAACGCCCTGCTCCCTTCAGCGAGCTCCCAACAGGGCCGCTCCTGGCACACCTTCCCCACTTCCCAGCTTCCCAGTGTCACATGACCCCGCCAAAGTCAGGCCTCTCCCTCCACCCCAGGAACACCCTCTGTGAGGATCGATGACCCCGGTCTCCTCACACGGCCTCCCAGCAACACTCCGCAGGCCACTCGGGGCCCCTCCCGCAGTCAGTGTCCAGGCCACCGCACCCTCTGACTGCCGAGCTCTCTGCTGGTCCTCCTCCTCTTCCGAACATGCTGGAGAGCCCAGGGCCAAGCCCTGAGATGCCCCCTCCTGCTGGCACACATGTCCTGGGTGACCTCACCCGGACCTACGGTGAGGACACACTCGCTCAGGGACTGCTGGGCACACTCATGCCCTGACTTGGTCTAATCGCAGCTTCACGTATCCAAACGCACACGCAAATCATCACTTGTTCATCTACTGATAGAGGACACCTCACACTTAACGTGTCCAGAAACCTTACTTCCTCCACCTTTAGTTGGGATATATACTAAAATGTTAACAGTGGGTACCTCTAGGTAACTTTTATTTCTGCATTTAAATTCTTAATCACGAACACCTATTACATCGCAATCAAAATATTAAATAGGCAACAACTATAAACAAAGAGCGGACCTTCGTTAGAAACGCAGTTCCTATGTACTTCCCCTGAGGGCCACGTCCGCTGACTATTCCCTCCAGCTGTCACTGTGCTGAAAGCTCGTGGTGACAGTGAACACGGCAGCCCCCACGACACCCTCATGTCAACCAGGCGAGGACAGCCAATGGCAGGGTGAGCTGCGGGAGAACGAAGACGCGGCTGGGAAGGAGTCCCTGCCAGCGAGAGGAGGGCAAGGTGCGGCGGGAACGGGCAGGCGGCCCCCAGCCCCTTGTCTCACACAGCCCTTGGAAAGGACTGAGTGTGAAAAAAATACACAGAACCATGAAATGCAAAAGAAAATCAACTTCAGGTTGTTTTAACACTGCCACAGGACGCCGCGGGAACACACAGGAGAACTCGGGTGTCAGGCAGGCTGTGCCAACCCGATGAGCACCGCGTGGCCCTCCGTGAGGTGGCGGACGTCGTTCTCCAGGGCCCACGGCGGGGCACCGACACCTGCTCTAAGGCCTGGGTGGTCCAGCACCCCTCACGGCACCGAGCTTCGCACAGATCCACCTTTTATCGTCACTGTTGCCTCTGTGATGCGAGTGGTCGAAAGAAAACTGCATTTTAAAAGGTTCTACAAACCCACAAATTAAGTTACACAATGCAGAGATTCCTAAACTTTTAAAAGTAAAAAGTCACCCTGACTGATGTGGCTAAGGTCCTGGGGTGTGGTTCCACAAGGTGAAGGTCGCTGGTTCAGTTTTCGGTCTGGGCACATGTCTGGGATGCAGGTTCAGTCCCGGGATAGGGGCATGCGAGAGGCAACTGGCTGAATTTTCTCTCCCTCCTTTTCTCCCACTCTCTAAAAATAAATAAAATCTTTTAAAAAAGGGAAATAAAAATAAAAATTCAGTAAGCCTAAGATCTCAACAAAGTAAAAAGACAATGTGAAAACTGCCCGAGTCTGCTTGAGAAAACTGCAAATTTCACAAGGCTACAGCCTTTCTAACCAGAAGAGCACCAGGCACCCACATGGCCCACTGCACCGCCACCGCCACCGCAGGCAGAGGCGCTGAAGCCCTCGAAGGGTCGGAGGCTTAAAGGTGACAAGGTCTTCTACCTCCAGGTCCAAAGAGTACATTCAATTCATGTTCTGTGACCAAAGTGCCATGTGTGTCCCATGTGTGTTTGTGCGGGAAGGAGGAAGGTAGAAACGAAGACAAGAGAAAACAAGGACTGGCAGGAAACGCCACGGGTATCCTGTTGGTGATGAGAACAATGCTAAACAGAGTAAAAGGGTGTTGGGTTGGCCAAAAAATCCATTTAGTTTTTGCAGTAAAATAAGAGACGCATCTTTATTTTCACCAATAACTTCATTGATTTGGCTATTTTGAGTATGTCAGCTGTCTCCCACCACTGGCTTCTAGTGGGCAGAGGTGCTGCTAAACATCTTCCAGTGCATAAGACAGCCCCACAGCAAAGATTTATTTGGCCAAAATAGCACCAAGAAACTTCGTAGACCACTTCTGACATGATTAGTCACAGCACCTCCTCCACACACCGCACAAATCTTTTTTTACATTTCCGTTGCATTTTTTACCTTCCTTGAAATAAAGCATAATACAAAGAAAATGTTGCATACCTTCTTCCATCTTCAATATTAAAATGGCGGCACAAAAATTCGCCAGTTTTGATCACTTTTTTAATGTGCGCTGATACGACAGCTGTCACAATAAATCTAACAAATCTAACAAAACTGTTTCCCATGAAATCAAAGACTAAGCACAACTAAAGCCATCACACAGGAAAAAAACAAACAAACTTTTTGGCCAACCCTCTATTTAAGAAATAGCAAATTTTCCCTTATTGCTCAATATTTGATTAATGAATTTCTTATGAACGCTTCTTGGATTAGGAGTAAACAATCTCATCAGTGCTAAGAGGACCCGACACTAAGCTGCGCTGAACTGAGATCAACTCTACAGCCGTACCTGACAACACACGGGAAGTTCAAGGACAGGACGCTAGAGAAGACTTCACCAAAAGTGACTTTCCCCACAGAGCACTAAGTGTCCATGTCCTGCATTCAAATGGAAATATTACAGATTCTTCACATTTTGT